TCCTGAACCGTTTCCAAAATTCGTTTAGGTGCCACCCGACGAGGGCAACTTCGAAGACACGTCGAAACGATTCTACGGTTCGAGCTGCCAGCTCATCGTCCTTGAAGCCGATGACAAAGCCAGGTAGAAAAGCGAAGAAAGAGAAAACTAGCCGCGGCTGGCTTTGATTCTTTGTCCGTCTCGCACCGGTCGTTTGGTCGGTGTCGGCGAAACTCCAAGAAAATTAGCATCGCGCCGGAATCGCCTTCGTCACCCGCGTGTTCGGCCGAAAGCGTGGCGCGCGAGGGGCGAACTGAGGAAAATCGTAAATAAGCCGCAGAAGCGTGACGCGACGAGTTTATTAGTCTGCGCGCGTCTGCGGCCGTTCGCTTGCAGGTTATACGCTATATATGCGCGCCCGATTGCGAGACGGGACCAGGTTGATGCTCCTTGTCCCTGTCTCGAAATAATCGGACACGCCCTCGTTACGACGATTTCGTCGGTTCCTCGCTCATTAGCGCTTGAAATGAATCGCTGCGGCTCGCCATCTGCCCATTCGCCCCGAGGAAAGTTAATAGTCCGCTTTTAATAACGATACTAGCGGCGGCAGCGGCTTTTCGTGAGATCGCGAGTAGACGACGGGGTGGTTTCCATCGGCTGGCGATCGGGGGTACGGGGTAGCGGGATTTTTCGTATCCGTCAGAGCTTTAATTAATGACGAAGAGATAATAAAGAGGGACTCGAGGGAAACTCCGGGGCTCGAGAAGGGTCGCGATTAAAATAGAAAACTGGGTCAACCCTGAAGCCCGAGCAGGAGTCACCTCGCGACCGAGTATCGAGCACGTATGCCTATTGTCCGTCACCGAAAGTTATTTTCGACGATGGCAGCCGCGTTTTTCCACTCGATTTCGGATTTTTCGATTCGCGTTAGTGAATCGTTCGGTGAATTTAGATTGATCGATCCGAATAAATTGGACGGGTTCGTTGTATACGCGGTGCAATTAGAAAGGAAAAAAGACATTTGATTGTTGGGGAGGTGTGGATGGAACTGAAAGCTGTTTTCAATCTAATTCGGTATCATTTCGTTCGATTATATTTTAATGTTAGTGTGTTGAGTTGTAAACGGTGGAAAATGCTCAGTTAAATATTGTTTAGGTTAGAATGTGACGCTGAATTAGGTTTCAGTGAGATAGATCTCAATCAAACCTTCGATTCACATTGAACTTCGTTTGGTTAGAAAAACAATTTAAGCAATGTGAATACGTTGCGTTCAAGTGCAGCAAGGGACATCGTTTTCAATGGGAAAACCGAAGAACGCCCAGGAAATTCGTCGGTATTCAGAATAAAAGGCTGGATCGCAGCGAGTTTATTCCTTTTCAGATTTGCCGGGCGCACAATGCAACGATGTCTGGCTTCGAAACCTATTACCGGAATACAATGGCGAAGTAAATTTTCCCCCGACAATATAAAACAATAACTATTCTCCTTCGAGCTTCCAGGCGAACCTCTTCGCAGCTCATTGACAACTTTGCAGTTTTTCTTACCGACTACTATTCTTCGTTTCGCCTGTTTCTCTTGTATAATCGAACGTTTTCGTCATTGATGCGAAATGATCGCATTCGACTTTCTTTTGCTAGAGATGCATGTTCCTTTTCCAATAAAGATTTTCTGTCGGTGAAGAAAAGGAGTTTCGACGTTAATCTCGCGGCGCAAAAGCGCTAACTGCTGGGAGGATCTACGGTTGCGACGTAACAGAATCCAGACCACGCGCGAACGAACGAACGAACGAACGAACGAACGAACGAACAAACGAACGAACGACAATGATCTTGACCTCGCACGAATAAACGCGTCGTCGTCGTAGACCGAGGTCGCCTCTCTGTGTTTCCGCGTAAGCGCGCGAGCGCGTTCGGTTACGCGACTGCATTAATAAACATGAAAGCGCAGCCCAGGCGAACAATCGCTCATGGATCGCGTTCGATGCTTTGTAACGGCGAACGTGACGTTGACACCATTGTCGACAAATGGGATTCTTCATTTCCCCTACGGGGGAAAGAAAAATTGATTTTTGTGTTGGAAAAATGTAGATTTCTATCGATTCGATCATCCTTTGCCTCCTTTTGGTTGCAATGGAAAATTGTGTGGTGTTGTTATTGTTGTTTTCGTTCTGGAAGTTTAACCCTTTTCCTTGGAATATCGAGTAGAGTGCGTTTCGAAGACTTTATTACAGGTTTCCTGTTGATCCTAATAAGATATTAAAAATACTTGGTCGATTGAAAATAATATTCGATGCGACGAAATAACATACCATTTGTCATTGAGGCGTTAATTCGTGTACTCAATTTTAAAAACAACCGTCGAAACGCTTTAGCATTTTGCATGAATCAGCCATCTGAATAGTGTGTTAATATTTACAAACAGAATCGTAGGTCGAGCTAGAACAGTCGACCTATTGTCAGTGCGTATTTGAATCTCGAATCGAATCGGTGCGTTGGCAGATACAGCAGGGTAGAGCAAAGCAGATTCCTGAAGGAAAAGTGATTGTGGAGTTAATTTGTCTGTTTTCAATCGCAATGACAGTTCATAAGTAGATGTATCCAATTGTAATCGAGATCATAGTGACGCGACGCGAAATAGGATTCTTCGCGGAACGAGAAAAATTGATGACCGCGATGCTCGTTAGCGCGCGAATAACATCCACGTTCGGTGAACAAAGGACGCCCTATTACGCAATCCGTTAGCGACATTGGTGATAATCATCGAATTACCTGCAGAAGCGCAATGGGCCATGGTTTCGCATGATTCCCGCCGAGAGATCTCAGTTCGCGGGACGAGATTCTCACTGATCAGTCGTCCCTCGTGATTGGCTCGAAACGAACGTTACTTTGAACGATTCCGGTCTACTTCTAGTGATTTAACTGTCTGGAAAGGCTTCCTTCATAGGTGGACCAAGTTTGAGACGTTGTTTTTGTGGTTTATTTTTTCTTGGAGTGTTCTAACGGTGTTTTTAACTGCGAGTATTAATATGAATTTGGAGATCGTTGAATATAAATTTGGTATTCATGGGTTAACCTTTAAACTTTAAGCCTTATAGACTGTTTAAATTTATAAATAAGGAAGAAGATTGAACTTTCAGGTTAACGAAATATCTCCACTAACTTCTACAAAACTCGTGCAATTTTTAACGGCATTCGAAGACATCGCTGAACCATTTTTATTTCCATTCCACCGTACATAATCACTCATCTATTATGTATTCAGTTGACCCATAACTTGCGAATGTCTATTAAGGAACGAAATGCATGTTATTCTTAAAACGTCCGAATTTTACCCAATACTGCGTTCACCATTTTGTTTAATAATCTCTCACAAAATTAATTACCTCTCCTATCAATATCCATGAAATGCCAAGCGAGTTGGCTTTCACTAGGTTGAACCAAGATCCCTAAATTCCAAATGGATCCACCGTCGCACATTTTTATAGATCACAATCCATTACACAAAAAACATGAAATGAATGCTACAGATTTTGCCATTTCAACTGATTAGACACGACATTATATTCAGAAACTCGAAAACTCTTCAGTTTAATTTGCTCCGCTACTTAGAAGATTCTTTGAATTCAATATAGTATAGCAACCGAGAAAATTGTCATTAAGACAAACAGTAACAACGAACGTCTTAACAACACAAGGACCTGCCTTAAGACCTCGAATCTTCTGAAAAGCCTTCCAAGTTCACAGCAAAGCGTGTACTAGGCTTTAGCCGCAGAGCAAGATTCCCTGGTTCATCGACCAGAAGGAACGATCTCGCCTCCAGTGTGCCTGCCATAGCCACGATCTTCACGGCTGGCCGCACGGTAGCGGCTTAAGGCGCGAAAATAGAGACCGCGGTGTGCAGCGTTGGACACGGCGCTGCCAGAACGGGGACTACGCATTTAGTCTTTAACTGGAAGCATCCGCGCGCGGAACGAGCCTCTCGTCGCGTCACCGCGAGAGGAGGACCCGGGATTTTCCGCGATCCAGCCGGCGACACCCGGCGCGACCGGCGATCACGATCTTTCCCGGCGCGTCGCGCGGCTCGACCGGATCACTGTTTCTCGACGTAGTGAGAGAGCGACGAAGATGTGACCCGGAGGATGCAACAAGTGCGTCGCGACGGGGTTCGCTCGAACAGCCCGGCCCGTAGAGACACGGACGCAGCCTGGTGCGTCGTGGTCGCCTCGAGTCGCCAGCGTGAATCGACGGGTCCAATCTTCGCGGCACGGTGATCGCGATAAATTGACGGAATTGTCTCGGATTCCACGCCCACGGGACGACCGCTGGAGGATACCCAGGCTCGAAATAGACGGCCACGAAGGGTTCTGTCGGCGATGAAAGTACTCGCATCGGAACTCCACTACGTCGTTTCGTCGTACGGTTGATCGGAGGATCGCTCGATGAGGTCCGCGAAGAGTCGCAGCAACGATTCATCGTGAAAGATCGTTCCTATTGGATCGACGTCCCGCTTCGTCGACTCTGTAAGCGTTTTCCTGGGTCGGATCCCGCGCGCAGTGGTTCGCCTTCGCGTTCTCTGTCCGTCTTCTCTTTTTTCCGTTGAATCTCTCTTTTTGTTTTCTCTCACAAGCATCACCTTGCGCTTCGATGTTGCAGTTGGATGCGTCGGATCGAACCGACGCGCGTCAGAAAGAGCCTCGATAGCGAGCGATACACGCTGCGGTAAGAGCGACCGGGGCCAGGGCGATTAAGTAAAGGGAGAGAGAAGCTTCGGTTCCGGAAGTGCGAAGGAATGGAAGCCAAAGAGGTCGCACGTCGGCTGGGTACTGTCGTGGAAGACCCGCTGGTCCGGATGCTCGGTAGAGCGGTCCCCCGTTTATTGATGCAATATTTTTTCGCTTGCGTTCAATTCTGCGCGGACAAAATGCCGAAGAGGTTGTCCATGGACGGGCTGCGAATCCTGGCGGTGCTGATGGTCATCGTTCTACCGCGAACGATCACTTATCTGCTCTATCCGATTTTCAGATTAGTGTTCGGCAATTTGTATCCGGCCTACGCGTCCTACAAGGCGGTCAGAACGAAGAATGTGAAAGAATATGTGAGTATATGGGGACAGGGGCCGGTCTGGATCCTTCACGGTCATTGGCAAAGATTTTCCTGACTATTATCATTAGAGATAATTGTGCTTCGCGAGCTCGGTTGTTGCAGTTACCACTATCGGGACATCGTACGTTTTATGTAATTAAAGAAATTACTTGAATAGTACCCTTTGTAAAACTGGCTGTAGTTCTTATGATCTAATGAGACTATTGAATCTTGCTTGCTTTAGAATCGCCAGATAACGTTATACTTTATCTCGTCGATGTTTTTTAGACCAAAAGGCATTCTAAAGACCTAAACCTCCGGTGTCCAGTGATAACTGTACGCTACCGGGTTGTGAAAGCCGCAAACTCCGATCCTAATCAACTTGCTCGAGCACGTTCGGAGAACGAGCGAGTTCGAGTCGGACCTATCGATAGCATCTCGGCAAGGCGATTCTTTCTGTTAAACGGGTCACAGGCGAATTCTCTATCACTCATTTAATTAAAGGCGCGAGAAAGAGCCCTGGGAGGATGTCAGTGAACTCTTGAGGGTCGCTCGAACGGTTCTCGTCGTCGATGTTCAGTGTACCACACCGGCAATTTTATTTGCATCGAATGTTCACCCATTTCGGCTTGTTATTCCATCTTTTCCAGCCCTTTCGCACGTGCCAGCCGGGAGAATAATATTTGTGATTACACGGGACGAAATGAATTCGCCTTCGCCGGGAATAGACAGACCGTAATTGTTGCGCCGAGAGGTCTATTCGCCTCTTCCGACCGTCCTGATCTCCTTTTCGGCCATGAACGTCCTTATTGGTAGCGCGCCTGGTGCCATTGATATGTTAAGCCGTTCGTTCTTTCGTTTCCAGGTCAAATGGATGATGTACTGGATCGTGTTTGCGCTGTTCACGTGCGCGGAAACCTTCACCGACGTCTTCTTTAGCTTCTGGTGAGACATTTATAGTCCACACGCTTTATTGCTCGCATTCGATCGCAGCGATTCCGCTTGGGAAAGGGAACGGATACGCGCGCGTCGTTGATATCCTTCGGGATTAATCGCGTATTCGGATTTTGTATCGCTTCCGAATAGGAATCGAACCCGAAATTCCGATTGAAAAAGAAATTATACCGGCAATATCATATTCTGACGAACACTTGATAGCTACCAGCGAGTTTAAAGTGGATTGAAGGAATGGATTTACCTCAGAGTATTCCGAGCAACTCCAAAATTATTTCAATTTGTATGCTTGCGCAAACGGTCCACTATTCCAATCTAAATTTACCGGTTAACACTTGTGACGGCTACTGTCACTCATGATTTTACTTCGGAAGCTTCTGTTCGTCAGTGTTACATCTCTTATTATATATCATGAATTAAGTTTGTAATCTTTTCATAAAGGTTTCGTTTTCTTGAGTCGACACAGCATCCGCTGATATCCTTCGAGAGTCTACTTCCCCAAGAAAGAACACAGTCGATTAATTCGTGCACCCAACACTAAGCAGACGAATGCACCCTACGGCATCTCGACACTCGAACAACCAATAACGTCAGAACGGTGGGCCGCGCGAGTGCTAGCGTCGAGTTAAATAAGGAAGAGAGGTCAAACACACGATCCATCCACTCCCGACCATCTTGTTTAGCCAAGGGGTTCTCCCGAGATGGACTCACGGGAGCCGCGGCGCGTGCGCGCGCACGCAATAGAATCGGCAAAACAAAGCGCAAGAAGCTCGAGCTGCGAAATGCCCGGCAGCTCGGTCACGACCCCGTTTTTCGCCGGAAGCGAGTAAAATTCAAGCGAGCCCCGGGGCCAATAAACCTACGTGAACCGCGGTCGGTCGCGCGCGTGTACGCGGACCCGTAGCTCGCCACCGGGAATTCCGAAAGTCTAATTTCGGCCGAGATGGATATTGGCTTACATGCACTTCTGAGGGTTCCACCGAGCCGCCTTGCCTTCCGTCTCTGTTTCTGGTGTTCCTCCCTGCTGTGCCAGATCTCTCCCTTCATACTCGGATTACAACCAAAAAGGAGGGAGACCCACCGTGTATTTCTGGCCCATAGTGCCCTCTCGCTTTTCCTTCTTCCTCTCGTTTCCATCTTTCTCCATGGCCGCGGCGAACGCGCGATTTTACCCTTTGCCCGTTCTTCTTTTTCCTCTGCCCGATGACTCCGCGGATGCGTCATGCTTGACTGGCGATTTCATCGACGGTTCTTTGGTCCGTTGCACAGGTCTTTATAGAACTTGGCGTGCCCGCGGACGCTCGTGAAAACGTTTCTGCGTTACGTTGTTAACGATTCCGGCCGATGTCCTACCAGGTGATCTTCGCGGGAAAGCTACTTTTTTTCGGGACGGGGTGTGGCTCTTCCGTGACACCGGACACGACGACAATTAAATCCACTATAGTCCGAAGACTTAACGCCCAGGCCTGCTGACTTCGAGTTTTTGCATTTCAGTAAATGTTACAGACGGTAAAAATTCATAATTGAGGCTCGATCGACTTTTAATCATCGTCGCGACCGGATGGAAGCCTCAATAGAAAACACGATTCACGGCAGGCTTCAGCCTATGTGAGTCTCTGGAATGTCATGCGTTTGTGCATGGACTCGCGATTTATTTATTATTTTCAGGATTGGCCAGAATGTAATCTGTTTACGCGGAAATAACGGTGTAAATGTAACGCGATTGTTGATTCAATTACAAGCGAATTTCTTTAATTATTAATTGTAATCGCAATTATGTAGGTGGGTGTTATGGATCAGCAGCAATTATCGTGGATGGCGACCGAAATTATTACGTTTCAATCGTCGCGGGTAAATCTGTGATTGGTTCGAATTTTGTTTTAAAACTGGCCACCTGTTAGAATGAAACTTCCCGGCGGGTTCGATCAGAATGCGTCCGTTTCCGGATCGAATCAGTGTGGCAATAGAACCGTGAACGAAGGGGGAAGTTAGGTACAACGAGAAATAGAGATTACAGACCGAGTTTTTCGCTGTGTCCCATCCAGGTTCCCCTTTTACTATGAAATTAAGACTATCCTGGTGATCTGGCTGCTGAGCCCGGCCACAAAGGGCTCGAGTATCCTCTATCGTCGCTTCGTTCATCCGGCTTTAATCCGCCGCGAGGCTGAGATCGACGAGACCCTGGCACGCGTTACGGAGCAGGGTTACAGCGCTGTCTTGCACCTCGGCTCCAAGGGTGTCAACTATGCCACCACGGTGCTCATGCAGACCGCCATCAAGGTAAGATGTGGATTTAGAACTGAAACGATTCGTAACAATGGATTATCGGTTGTCTTGTCTTTGTAAGTAGATTGAATTAGATAAAATATTTTAAGTCTAAGTTAACTTCCTAGATGTTTTTTGCTGATATCACTTGGATTTAAAGTAAAGAATTAGACAAAGCTACTTCACGACGCAAGACGACTGGCGATCTAATCTATTTCTCCCCCCGACCCTAACCCGCTTCAGCAGCAACTGCTTCGGAAAGCCTCCGGCTAATCTTGAACATTTTTTCTGTATTTTATGTTTTCGTTGTCCCGCACGCCTATCCTGCACGCCGCTCCACCGCCTTTAATCAAAACAAAAACCACGATCAACGTCAATCACCGTTATCATCACAAAAAAAATACGTCGTCCAACACCACTGACAATCATCAACCGTACCCCCTAACAAAACCGTCGTCGCTCACAAAACAAATCCTGCAAAAACAACAACAAATAAAAAACACGAACCGTGTCCACGTTGTGCGTGTTAT